ATTTAGAAAGCTTGTATTGTGCAACGCTGAGTTTACTTTTCAATAAATATGCATGGGTATGGACAAGATCTTATTTATGTTCTAGACATTGGGCCACTTTAAACAGAGTTTTAAAATGTACTTTTAAAAATCCAGTCAAATGAATCTTTATTTAAAATATTTTTAAATTGCTTGCTTGCTTGCTTATAATGTAGGCTTCATGTGAATATTTCCAGGTCCACCGGATAAGGTATTCTTATTCCTGTTTCCCGACCAGCTGTTGATTACAAAATGGCTGAGGATGTTTGAATAAAAAATAGAGAACGGCCTTGACCTAAAGTAGATCTACTAATGTGCTCTATCCCAACAGGGTATAGCCCAAAAGCCACTTAGGCCAAAAAAATAAAAGTATTCAAATGTGTATATCTAGCTTGCTTGGAAGGCAGGCTGAAGAGCTGCATTTAAGCTTCTAGGTCCAAATTTCAATCTTAGCCATGTGTGCCTGGTATTTGAAAACTGTATACAGCCATTTCTTTCATGCCTATGGTTTGGTTAGTAATTAAAAGTAACTATGTGTATCTATCTGTCTAATGAACTACATCACGTACGGCGGGTTTATCTGAATAGCAAATGCCCAAAGAGGAAATGTAGATCTTCATTGTTAACGTTGCAGTATTCCCCGGTTCTGTTCTGCGCAAAAAACCATGCACTTTTGGTGGATGTAGCCTGTAAGATGTACACCTTTCTTGTTTCATAACTGACTTTCAAAAATGGACCATGTAGGTTTGCAAATTCTGCTGAGCTGCAGCTTCTAGTGCTCTTTGGCATTTGCTATGCCAGCGTAGGTTGCTAGCAGTTGTGTTCAACAACTGAAAAACTACAGACTCCACATCATTGCTCTTTACTCATTCTTCTCAATAAAACAAGCTGCTACTTAGTTTTGCTGTCCCACAGGCTACATTTTAAGCCTTTTGTTCTTTTCATATTTTTATTAGTAATATCAGAAACCACATTTTGAATGCTGAGCTCATATTAAATTGGATTGTTCAGATATGGAATAGGAACTAATTCTGCATTTATCTGCTAGCGTGTTACATAGTTTGTATTACCACTTTTTTGTGCACCATTAGTGTTAAAATCTCATGTCAAAAAGTTTGGGCCTGCCATGGAGATAATCCTTGTGATTGCAGCAATTTATTTTCAGAGGCAATTGTCAGTTCTTAACTCTAGCCCATTTGAGAGGAAGAATGTGAGACAGCCAAAAGAAGCCGGCTTAATTGATTGGGGTACAAAAGGTGGATTGGTGGATAAAAGGTGGAAAGGTGGCAATGAAATATAATAAGAATACAAACAAACCCTGGTTACTGACATAGAGAACATTTTCACTACAAAATCTGAAGACAATTTTGGTCCTTAATCTCTCTTGGAGCACCAAGGGTGTTAATCATTAAAGGTAGGAGAGCCATTGTGATCTTCAGTTGTGAAAGGACAAAATAATTTTTTTAGAGCCTAACTGTTTACAGCAGTGGTTTAAGACACTTTGAAACCAACCTCAGAGGCTCTGTGGGGCTTCCATTTCCATCACTCTCAGTCTGGAACCTGGTAAGGAAATGCTAGCCAGCCTTTGGGTTGCCTTTTGAAGAAATCTTCCCACCACTCATCTATCCCTCATGCCAGAGCTGCTGTACTCAGGCTGAATGCTGCCTGGCCCTATTTCCAAAGGCCCCTCTACAGGCATCATCCCACACTGCTGCCTTGCTGATTGGCTGGGCAGCAATGAGGAACAAGTGCGTTAGCCGGCCAACCAGGGATGATGGTGTAGGTGCTGCAGTTCAACTGCCCATTTGATTTTCTGTGCCAGAACTATTACCTGAAAGGAATAATATGTACAAGCTCATCCCAAGGTTCTCTCCTCTCTTCTCTCCCCCCCGCCTTTTTTTGGTCTTACTCAATCTACCATTATTTAAGATTTCAGTAGGCAAAATGGCAGCATCCAGCTAGCACATTTGTTCCTTTTTAGCCCACTAGAAGTTTTGGCCACCACTTGTCTTGATTAGGTCTGATTATTTCATCTGTTTCACACACAGACTCCTTCCCCAAATGGATTAGGGCCGTGATTATTGATTGACAGTTAATAGTAACCTCTCTTAATCTCTGCCCCCACTTTTCAACGCCTCTCAAAACGATGCTATAGAGCAAGGGTCTTCAAACTTGGAAAATTGAAGACTTATGGACTTCAACTCCCAGAATTTCTGAGCTAACATGATTAGAGGAGGAATTCTGGGAGTTGAAGTCCACAAGTCTTAAAGCTGTTAAGTTTGAAGACCCCTGCTATAGAGCTCTGCACACGAGAACAACTAGGACAGTTTTTTCCCGAAAGCCATCACTCTGCTAAACAAATAATTCCCTCAACACTGTTCAACTATTTACAAAGTCTGCACTACTATTATTGTTAATCTTCTCATCACTCCCTGCCACTTGTGACTGTATGACTGTAACTTTATCTCTTGTATCCTTACGATTTATATTGACTGTTTCCTAGTATGATTTGATTGCTTATTGTACCCTATGACTATTATTAAGTGTTATACCTGATGATTCTTGACTCTCGACGAATGTATCTTTTATGTATACAGAAAGCATTTGCACCAAGACAAATTCCTTGTGTGTCCAATCACACTTGGCCAATAAAAGAATTCTATTCTATTCACTTTTTAATCATACCAACCACACTAATCAATTGTATATGCAGTGAGCATTTCAAGCATTTCAGACCCAACATTAGTGGCAGGCAAAAAGGAAACAGACGCCCAGCCTAAGCCTATCTCAATTGATCTTACGAAACTTAATTTTTTAATACTTGAATGAGAGACCACTAGGAGAACCCACAACAATTGGCTAGATTGGGAAGAAACAAATTCTGGAAGTCAGCAATGGCAAACCAGTTTTGAACTATTGCAAAAAAAAGCTGCATGGATGTGCCCATGAAGTTCCCTGAAATTGCCAACCAAGATGGCATGGATTCTGTCTCCAAAACAATCTCTTTTGGAGATTAGGGTGGCTGGTGTGCAAAACACATCTGGAAGGGATGCACCAGGTAGCTGAAGACTTTATTACAGAGGTCTTCAAACTTGGCAACTGTCAGACTTGTGGACTTCAATTCCCAGAATTCTCTAGCCAGCTATGTCCACAAGTCTTAAAGTTGCCAAGTTTGGGGACCCCTGCTTTATTAGGTTCGACCCTCTCCCGTCAGGTAGGCTGAAGCTGCAAGAAGATGTTAACCATCTCTTCAGAAGATGCTGAAGAAGCAAAAAAAATTGGAAGAGTTATCTTTAGAGGCAGGGCACAATAGCCTCCTCTTTCACACTTCGGCTCCTGGTGAGGGCGCTTTTGGTGCTTTGTAATTTAATTTTCTGTAGCAAAAGTGTGAGACCTCAGTAGGAATTCATACCCATCCCTCTTCTTCCCAAGAAGGACATTGCTGTGCACACAATTGCAGTCCTTAAAGAAACCAGAAATCTTTCCTGGCAGGTATAGACAGGGCTTCCCGTTTCCTCTGGAAACAAACCCATCATTTCAGCTTGCCAGCTCGGGCGTCCGCTGGTGTAATCTTATGCCACTCGCTTCCCAAGTGGATTTTCCACCATGTCTGCATATTGATTTCTGTATTGATTCATGTTATTGCTTCCCACACTCAAGGGTTCTGGTGGGTGGATGGCGGGGTGTTACAACCGTGGCAAATGACATTAAAAACTCCAAGGTACAAAACAATCTGAGTGAAGCAAGAGACAGTGTTCTGAACACTGGCTATGTTGATGTGACATCTTACTAAGAGGATAATAGATATGCTCTTACATTTTCTCTCAGATCTATCTAGCTTAATAGTCCTTTCTTGGGAGCAGGAGAAGGAGAGAGGGCCCTTATGACTGACCAAGCAGAAAAAAAAACGTTTTCTGGAATTTGAAGGTAAACTTTTTTTAAAAACGGGCTGGAGATAAGGCATCTTATGTCTAGCATCTTATGACCAAGTGAAGTTTAGGCATCATCCAAGGCGTTTGATGCTAATGCAGGCTACAAGGGAAGAAAAGAGACTTTACCATCCTTTAAAGTTATGGGTCCCTAAAACGATTTCCACGATCTGGAATGCATTGCTTACAAGGAAGCATTAAAAGAGGTAAACGGTGGCTAACCTGTCCACTGACAGGAAGATAGGGTCGTAACTCTCCTCGGCCAATCTACTCAGATGTAAGCTCAAAGGACCCGGGAGCCGAGACGGACACTTGGCTGCCTAGATGCCTTCCCGGCGAATATTGTTGTTTGTCGACCCGTCTGTGCGCCCTACAGGGGGGCAGCGCGGTGATGAAAAAGCAGGTCTGCGCATGATTGGAAGCCGTCTTAAGTGTTTGATCTGGGGAGGGTTCCACTTTGGCTCTCCCGAGCAAGGAGTTCACAGTCTTCCGCCAAGCCGCCGCTTCCTTAGCCTTTTTTTTCTCTCCGTTGACCCGCGGTGCATTGCGCTCTTTGGAGAGAGACTGGGCTGCCCTGGATCCCCCCCAGTCGCCCCGCGGGGAGGAAAAACCGCGCGGGGCCCCGGCTCCAGCTAGCAAGAAGCCGCCCGCGAGGTCAACCAGACGGCCCGAGGAGTCGTGGGGAGGGTAGCTCCTCGCGAAGCGGGCAGCCTAAGAGCCAACAACTGAGATAAGCTTCGCCACAAGCGCTCCTGTCCGCCTCTTCTCCTTCTCCGGAGCAGGGCGGGGACTCGAGAGGCCCACTGACCAGGCACAGTCCGCCGGGGCTGCGCCAGGGCTCCGGTTCCCCCATGGCCCCGCTACTGTTGACCTTGGCTGCCGCCGCCCTGGCCTGGCCCTGCCCTGCCGCCCCGTCGGAGAGCCGCTTCTCCGAGGCGCGGGTGGCGCGTTGGGCGGCGGCGGCGCTCAAACACGTGGCGGCGACTCAGTGCCCCGACCGCGGCGGGCTCTTGCCGCGGCCCCAATGTCAGCGTTTGGTGCGGCTCTCGCAAGGGCCGGGCCCTGCCGTCTATATCTCCCAGCCTGCCCGGCCGGGTCAGAAAGTGCGGGCGCTCCTGCCCGACGGCTGGGGAGACAAGCCGAGCGCGCCGCTCGTCCCCAGCCGGAACCAGAGCGGCGGCGGCGGCCCACAGCGAGCAGCCCTCGCATCTGCCGGGCAAGACGCCGTCCTGGTTTTGGACCCCAGTCCCGGCGCCAACTTCGGCCACCCGCTCCTGCTCTTCTACGTCGACTTCAATGTCAGCCCGCGTCGGTGCCGCAGCCGCCAACGACTCTACCTGGGTGAGTGAAATTGAAAAAGAACGGAGGCGCGTGAAGTCCAGGTTAGACTTGGAATGTAGGTAGACCTCAATTTAGGTACGTTGTTAAGTGAAAAATGTGTTAAGTGAGTTTTGTCCCATTTTAGGATTTTTCTTGCCACATTCGTTAAGCAAATCACTGCAATTGTTAAATTAGCAACACAGTTGTTAAATGAACCTGCCTTTGCTTGTCAGAAAGTCGCTAAATGACCCCTGAGTACTGCAACCATCATAAATATGAGCCAGTGCATCTGAATGTAAATCACTTGACCATGGGGATGCAATGGTCACAAGTGTGAAAAATGATCATAAGTCACTATTTTCAGTGCGGTAACTTCAAACTGTCACTAAATGAACTGTTGTCAGTCGAGGACTACTTGTATCCAAGTTCAGGCCACACATGAAAATCATTGTTTTGCCTCTTGCTGCCTCTTGCTAATTTTGAGCTGTAATTTTTCCAAGAAGAGAACCTACCTGTCATTAACATCAAAATTGACTCAGCCTTTCATCCTTCTGAGGTGGGTAAAATGAGGACCCAGATGTTGGGGGCTGACTCTATAAACTGCTTAGAGAGGGCTGTAAAGTGGCATATAAATCTAAGTGCTACTGCTATCATAATTGTGTGTGTGTGTGTGCCTTGGAGGCAGTGTTGATTCCTAGTGGGTGCCTGGACAGATCCCTGCATCTTTCTTGGCAAGATTTCAGAAGGGGTTTGCCACTTGCCTTTTTCCTTGGACTGAGAGTGATTGGCCCAAGGTGACCCAGCTGGCTTTGTGCCTAAGGCAAGACTTGAGCTCACAGTCTCTACCTGATACCTTAACCGCTACACCAAACTGTCTCTTATTTGTAATCATTAGAACATAGCAATTTAGAAAGCAATATGCGGTAGTCATTCTTCTATCAGGACCTGTCACGTTTGAGACAGTAGAATTTCGATTCTGTGCCTAGCTTTTCTTTCCCCTAGGCTAGGTCGTGCTCTTTGACCTATCCCCAGATTATCTTTTTTTTTCCCGGCTAGTTGATACACCACTTGCTTTTATCTGCCTCCAGATGGCCTTGCTCACACTGAATCATGTTGCTAGATATTTCATGTTTTCCTAGGTGGCGTTAGAAAAATGCAAGAAACAAGAGTGTTGCATCTAGTGGATCTGAATATGACCAGTTCCAGTTGCTGGATAATCAGATAATGGACCTGCCTAGCTTAGCATTCTCTTCATTTTGACGCCTCTGGAAAATCACCCAACTAACAGAATGGGAATGCAATAGTCACTCTCACTTGAAAATTGGTTTTTCTAGAATCTAGACATAATATTCCTAAAGCGGAGAAAATATAATCATCGTGACTTGCAGTCAGTTGGTTTTAAATACTTCATGAATTTGATTTAGTTTGTGTGCTGTCATATATTTTTCTGCCTAGTGGCCGTGCGTTCTACATTTGAATAGTACAAAAAGACTTTCTATCATCTGAATCTCTAGGGAATAAATTATGAAACAGTGGCAAAATCATATTGTGAATAGTTATGTACACTTTGCCATGTTCTTTCTCAGATTGCTTTTTTGAAAGGGTGAAAGCGTTACAGACTGTATCTTTTCCTTACGGAGAAACTGATTGGGTTCCCTCATAATTTTATATATCCATTCTTGCAACCAAAATTGCAGTAAAATATTCTTTTTCTGGTGAATAATGTTCTCTACTGATTTTGCGTGTGTGGGTAAGTGTGTGTGTGTGTGTGGGGGGGTTCTGGCATAGACAAAAGTGCTAATTGGGATTATGAAGAAATTTTCTTTACTAGATTGGCAATTTAAGATTAGTGGGTGTTCAGTATTTAAATTCCACTCATTCACATAGACTGAGGGCTTATTTTGTTGAAATTATTTTAAAGGAATGTTCATCTTAATCTTAATGTGTGTCTGCTATTGAAAAGAAAAATATCTTTTTACAGAAAGATTATCAAACTAGGTATTTCTTAAAATAGGAGGTATTACTTATGGATGGTTGAAATCAAACCCTTAAAATGGAGCTTTCAAGCAGAGTAAAAAAAATTCAAATTTTATTAACAATTTTGTGTTTATAAGACTAGATATATAAAATATAAAATCTAGAACTTTCAAAGCCAGTTAAAATAAAGATCCATCATACACATTTCTTTCATGATCTGAGGCATCCGCAAGGAAAAAATAATAATAGTCAAGATGTCATCCATGACTGCACAACTGAAGCCCAACTTTTTTTAAAAAGTACATTGTGACAAATGTAAAAAAGGAGTGGCCCCTATCTTAACTCTTTTTACTTCAGCTGCAGATGCCCCCAAAGCCATTTATTATGAATACATCCTAAAAAAAGACCATTCTGTATCTAAAATCATATTGTTTCTCACTAAGGGAGAACAGTTGGGATAGTATAACAAAGGAGAGGCAGTTCAGTACAGAGGCATAGTATAGTAGGTAGGCACCAGGCTAGAAAGTGGGAGATGGTGAGTTCTAGTCCCACACTAAGCACAAATCTAGCTGGGTGACCTTGAACTCGTCATTTTCTTTCAGTGCTGGGAAGGAGGTAATGACAAACCACTTCTGAAAATTATGCCAGAAACACTGCAGTCTAAGTGATTGCTAGGAATCAACACTGATCCATAAATAGATTATACAAATGATTGATAGATAGATAGATAGATAGATAGATAGATAGATAGATAGATAGATAGATAGATAGAAAGAAATAGGAATAGCACTTACTTATATACTGCTTTATAGTGCTTTACAGCCCTCTCTAAGCAGAGAGTCAGCCTATTGCCTATTGGGTCCTCATTTTACCCACCTCAGAAGGATGGAAGGCTGAGTCAATCCTGAGCTGGTAAGAATCAAACTGTTGAACTGCTGGCAGCTGGCAGTCAGCAGAAGTAGCCTGCAGTATTGCATTCTAACCACTGTGCGATAGATGGATGGATGGATGGATGGATGGATGGATGGATGGATGGACGGACGGACAGACAGACATGATAGATAGATGATAGATAGATAGATAGATAGATAGATAGATAGATAGATAGATAGATAGATAGATAGATAGATAGACAGACAGACAGACATAGATAAGGGAGAAAAGATGTGCATGGCCAAACTCCCCCCCTCCCCCAAGAATGTCGAAGTTAAGAGAGCATTGTAAAAAAAGTGATTATGATGTGTTGTTCTTCCTAATTGGCAGGAAAGTCCTGACTTAGCTAGAACTCAGGGAAATATCCAGTCAGACTAAGGAGATTATTTTCAGTATTAATAAGATGCAAGGCATTATGAAACTGACAATCCAGTTAGTAAATGTACTTTTCATCTCATTAATTGTTCCAATAATAACTTCCTGTATTTATAATGTGATGTGGGTAATGGTGATAATGTATTTATTCTTGTTTAACCGGAGCTGCTTTAATCCAAGGAAAAATCTGCTTATTGTTGTTCTGTATTTCAGTAACACACTAGCAATGAGTGACCTAGGAATTCAAGTTCCACTGAATTCAGTGTGAGACTTACAAAGAAACTTGCCTAGGATAAGCTCTGTTAACTTTGCTCAGATGCAGCTGAGGAACAATAGTACCAAACTCAATTATCATCTCTCATGAATGCATAGGATGGGACACATCTGGATGGAAGAGGCAGGCCAGAAGGTATATGGAGGTCAAACCATGCTAAGCTTTATAGATTAAAACCAACACTTTGAACTGAACCTGGAAATTAACTGACGATTAATGCATTCATGTCACTAAACAGACCTTTGCAGAATAATACCCGTGTAGTTCCTCCGGGTGCTTTATGTCAAAGGAGCTTATTTTCTTTCTTCTATTCGTAGGAAGCTATGAATGCTTGACTCCTGTACAGAGAAATCACTGTGAGAACCAGCTAAAGCGCAGACCAGGACGTGGCAAGGGGCGGAGCCAGCGCTCAGCAGGACACATGCTCCATGAGGAACCACCAGTAGGGTTTTGTGAGATACATTTTCTGCCCCTGATAGTGGTGGCACAGGATCTGAAACACCTGCAAAAATTGCACTGCATAGGTAGGTGTCTGCATTGGGTCCGGAGAGAGTTACAGGGCAACAAGATTGGAAAGACGTCCTTCATTTTGCAATAAATCATTTTGTTACTCTAAACCTGATTCTGCTGCATCTTTCCTCCAAAGCGCCATCATAAAAGATGGCTGCAGGAAGGAATGTCTGACTGAGCCTAAATTGAAAAGAAGAATAGTTTAAAATTTTGGAATGCGAAATGTAATAGACAATGCTGATAAATTCAGGATGAGTTAAGACTTTGGGGCAGCTAGTTCTTACTTTCTTGAATCAGACCTTATTAACTTGCCTGTGTCCTCACCTCATGTAAATTGGTTTCTAAAATCTCTGGTTTCTTTTCCTTTCACAGATCTCCATGGGTACAGCCCATGTCCACAGCCGCTGCTTCTTGTCAGTTCTAGTTCCACGGCTGCCTACTGCGAACTCAACAAGAATACACGGCGGTGTCATCGCCAACAGGCTCCGATGTATAAGTTGTGCCGCATGTATCAGACATGTGATCATGCAGTACTGATTGCAGGTGTGGAGTGGTGCCTGGGGGGCTACTGAGAGGTGCTCATTCCCATTTGGAATTGGTAGCAAAAGTATGTGGAGAAATGAATTTGAACCCATTGAGCACTGCAACAGGTCTTTTGGAGAAGGATGAATACAGGCAGGGACTATAGGAGCTCTTGTATTGTCTCGATGCCTCTCAGCTTAAGATGCTTACTGTTGACAGTCATTCTCTTCCAGGTGGCTGGCAGGAGCAGGTCACCTATCCCCACCATGCCCAGAACCTGTTGCTTTTCCACCAGATGCTTCGACGAAATGGTTTCCGCCAAGAGCACATCAAGGCTTTCTTTGCCAATGAGGGACAGGCTTCAGGTACTAAAAAAAGCCAGCTAGAAGGGGTGAGAAAAGTCCCTTGTTCTTCTACGGAGGAGAGTGGGATAGTCATAAAGGAGAGCTTCTCAGTGTTAATGGTGTTTGTGGCATGTTCTGAGATGGGGGTCTGCTGTATTTCAACAGCAGTTGTATCTCCTTTCTCTTCCTCCTCCTCCTCTCCTTCCCACCACACATACAGTAGTCCTTTGGATTAGAAGACCCTCTTGTGTGGTTCATCTGTGCATGTGGAAGTGGTTTTGCAGTCCCAGTCTGGAAGCACAGAGACTAGTATAGTTGGGGCACTGAAAGTCCATTGTTGTAGTAACTCTTCTAAGATGCCACTCACAGTTTTCTATCAGTTTACTATGCAAACACAAACACATTCACTCACATGGAGAAACAACTTCCCACTAATTACCGTAGGATTCCAAATTAGTCCTTGCATTTTTCCAAATTCCACTTCCCCATGGCCACCAAAAGATACGTTATCAATACCACAAACCCACAATTGGCTCCAGGTGGCATGTCTTTGAAAGAAAACTATTGGATTGATAGGTCTTTTCCACAAAGGAGGCATGAATGATCCTTGAAAATTAGAGTTGTAAATACCGTAGAATAGATAATCGGAGAGATTGGATGGGAAGACACCAACTAAACAAGAGTAATGTCAGCTGGTCCTTCTCCGCCTTCTTTCTGCAGTGGAGATGGGAAATGTGCAACCAGCCACAGAGAAGTTGGCTATCCGGTCCCACTTGGCACTTATCTGCCGTAGCCTACACTGTGCCGACACTCTGGTACTCTACCTCAACAGTCCAGCTTCCAGTGATGGCACCATGTTCTTGTGGGATGCTAACCATAATGGCATTGTGAGTAGGGTCTGGTGGGAATGGATTGGTGGGGTGGATCCACATTAAAAACAAGAAATGGCTGTCCCAAGGTTGTTGTTTTTTTCCCAAGAGGCAACTGGACTTCCTTGTTTTTCTTTGAGGACGATTCACTTCTCATCCAGAAGCTTCTTGGATGAGAAGCAAAACGTCTTCAGAGAAAAACAAGAAAGCCCAGTTGCCTCTTGAAAACAAAACACCTTTGGGACAACCATGACCTGGATAACTTGAGAATCTCCACAGACAATAAATGGTTCATCTGAGGCCACTTAGGCCATAAAGAGGTGGTGATTTAGCCTGCCACCTAGTTCTTTTGAGGAATGATTTTTACAGCTGAGCCAAGTTCCTCTTCATCATTAGTTTATGTAAGTCCTTAGACAGGTCTCCATTTGGCCATTTGCATATGGTGAGGGTTTCACTGACTGGAAATAGACAGTGAAGTGAATTGGGCTTTGGAAGGAGGAAGGGATCATCCTCACCTGTCCCAACATGTTCTGGGTGGCTCAACAGGAGGGAGAAGAGACGCTGACAGACTTGCAGGTAGACCCAGCCTTCTCTTCTCATCAATCCCCTTCAAAGGCCCATCCAGCTCTTTCATCCTTGCCTGCAGGGAAAAAGGCAACAGCAGCTTTTGCAAAGGGTGCTGGCCCCGGCTTGCTCTTTCCAACTTAATCTGGCTTCTTTTAACTTCAGGGTGGGAAAATTCCCTTGATCTCTGGACCATAGAGTTCAGGTGGGGGAACCGGGACAGAGGAGTTGGTGCTAATGAGCTGCCCTTTTCCCCTCACAACAGGTTGATCCTAAGGAGCGATACGCCATCTCAGAGCTCTTAACAGACTTGGAAAGTTGCAATGCCCGACGGGTCCTGCTCTTTCTTGACCAGAGCTATCCAGGGCCATTGGTAAAGAAGCTTCAGGCATCGCAGCGCCATCCCAATGTAGTGTTGGTACATAGCACCACTGCCCTCCAAAGTGGATCAGCTTTTGCTGAATTCTGGGCAGAACTGCAACCTGACCAATGTCTACTTCAGCATACCTTGCCGGTAAGTGTTTAAGGACATTAACAGGTATAAGAATGTAAGAAGCTCAATCTGAAGTCTTTTGCACCATCTGCTGTCTCTTTTAAAGAGGGGCTCTCTATTATGCATAGCATGTGGTTTGACAAATTGTCTTCTTTTAGAAGATTCTCTGTCAATTCTAAACAAAATGTAAAGCCACCAAAATAACATTAAAATCCAATATTAATGTTGGAATTTCAGGTGATTTTACAACAGGGACTTTGTTTAAGAAAATCTGTATGGCGACTAACTCATCATGTGATTCTGGGCTGCTTACAGAAATAAAATCCCAATTCAAAACCTAATAAACCCCCACCCTCCTGACAACAACAGTCAGACCAGCCACTTGGTGGGCTCCATACCAACCTGCAATCCCCAGGCTTGTTGGCAAAATCATGAATTCAGGGCCTTTTGAAGGAGTGTCAAAATGGTGACCATTTCTGTAGAGATGATGTTCCACAGGGAGAGAGCCATCGAAGAGAAGGCCCTTCTTCTTGGGCCCAACAGTCAGACCTCCTTAAAAAGGAGGAATTTACAACAGGTACTTCACCAGGGATGGTTTTAGCAACTAGGACAGGATCATTAACAGGACGGCTGACCTCAGTTTTTTTTCCAATTGCGCAGTGGGGGAGATGGGATCAAATCTGATTTCGGGAGTAAAAATCTTTTGACTACTTTGCAGAATCAAAAGTGGTCGCCTTAATATAGCACATTATACTTTATTGTATAGATAAGCCAGTTTCTGATCATATGGCAAACGGGTTGGTTTTCTCTTGTGAAGCAGTATGTGCTGTGTGTATGGGGGATGGGGAAGAATGCTGTCTCTATAGTCAAATGTTCTTGAATGGCAGCATAAACAGATACAGGCAGTATTTGCCAGGCAGATGGAACAAAAGACTAGCTAACTATACTTTAGCTTACTGAATTCTGCAAACCAACCTGGGTTATACCAATCCAGAAAATGGACTAATTGAGTAAACCATGGTTAAACTCTCCTCTGAAAATTGTTACATTCAGCACAATGTTATATAGTTCACCTACTTTCAGAATCTCTGCATTGAAGAGGAAAAATAAATGCTAGATCAGAAATATCCATCAGTCGATGTGAACTGGATGGAGAATTTGAGCTCATTTGGATGGAGAACTTGGGTTTATTATATCTTGCTTTTTAAAGTTCTACTGCTAAAATAAACATGAGGTTCCTAACTTGACAACGTATTTCAAACATAACTGTTTAAATCTGGAGACTTACATTTAGCTGCTGTACCTTCAGTTGTAATGAGTGGTAGCTTAAGTCACAACCAATTTTTCCCCCAAAATTTGTGCAATTAATGCTCAGCTCCCAAACAAGGAAATTTTTCTTGAAATCTGCAGAGTTGAAAGCAGATGGGAACTGATGGATAATCTGACTTCCTTTACTTTATGGGGGTGATGTTGTTAGCAATAGCAATAGCAGACTTATATACCGCTTAATAATGATTTACAGCCCTCTCTAAGTGATTCACAGAGTCAGCATATTGCCCGCAACAATCTGGCTCATCATTTTACCCACCTTGGAAGGAGTCAACCTTGAGCCTGGTGGGATTTGAATTGCCAAATTGCAGGCAACTGGTGTTCAAATTAAACAAACACAAACTGTATAAAAGCAAACCTTTTTTAATGTGGCGCTGGGAATTCTATGCATTCCCTGCCAAGTCATTTAAACCTAATTGTCCGAGATAAAAGCAAGCCCTTTCAAGGTTGTAAAAGGCTGCCAAGAACATAAGTCTAATTATGTCTAAAACCGGAATTGCAGGACTTCAACGAGGACTGAGTCTGAAGAACTTCTTTGCTTCCTGCAGAGCACCTCCCCGAGGGCTGGTTTTTATCCCTTATGCGAGGGGCAATCATCTTCCAGCCTTACTCCCGAGTCACCCTTGCTGCTTCAGCTGCTTTCTCCTTCGAGCAGCCCTGTGCAAACGTGCACTGGGCACAGGTTCCCCGGGGTCCTCTGCTTCACTGCTGCCAGACTCCAAGAGCTCCGAAGGCAGCACCCCACTCTCCGATAGTCCTGGCCCCATCCCTGCATCAGATGCAGGGCCCTCATCCAAGCCCTCGCCAGCCTCCCTGACTGGTTCCCTTACATCCTCACTGTCAGAGACCTCTGCCGTCTGTACCTGCTGCCGGCAAATCACAACAGCTGATAGTCAGCAGAAGTGGCCTGCAGTACAGCACTCTAACCACTGTGCCACTGAGGCCCTAAAGTCATGAACTGAAGCATCCCAATGAAATTGATTCTTTATAATGAAGCCAGTTTCTTGTTTTTGCAGGTGGGTTCGTGGTCTGCAGTCTTTGCCTCTGGTACTCCAATCCAGCTGCTCAATGTCACATTAGCAGGAGCCCCTTGCCATTCTGTGCCACCCTTAGGAGAGGAAGAACGCCAGCGTCGCTACCATGGCTGCCAAAATCTTCCCACCATGTTGTGGTATCAGAGCAGGCACCAACAGGAACTACAGCAGGATGACTGATCATGATGGGCACTGTTTTGGGGGAGCCTACGAGGCCCAGAGCCTTGTTATGTAACCAGGGGCCCTTTCCTCCAAGGAGATTTTTTTTTGTTTTGGTGGCTTTGAGGGACCCACCTGCAGTTAACACCAACAGTCATCCAATGGGTGGATGCGATACTGTTGCTGGACATTGCCATAGTAGGGAGAAACTTTCCTAGTAATTTGTCTACAGTGGACTCTACAAAGTTCCGAGGCAAACTTGAGAGAAGCACATGTGCCACTGTTGGCTCTTGTATATTGTTAAACATAAACACAGATGAGAAAATGTTAAGACCACAAGAGGGGGAATTAGATTGGAAGATTCCGGTCATAAGTCAGAATATATCTGGGGGGAGGGGGAACAGACTTCTAGGGTAACAATTAATGCCAGGGAGTAAGCAATGCACAGTGGAGTAAGCACAAGTGTAATGGAGTAAAGCATCTATGCTAATGTACAAATTGTGCTGTTCTCATGTATGGGAATCTCTTCCCCCCCATGCATATATCAATCTCCCCCTCACACCTTTCTCCATATAATACATCCTGATAAAACAGGAGTGGGTGGGAAGAACAAGTTTTGAAACAATCAAGCTCTTGAATAAAAAAAAAACAGTTCTCAATTTCCAACTGTGGCTGTTTACTTTGCATGGACACCCATACAATTAGAATTAATACAGGCGTGAATGCCCTTTTGCTGCCTCAAAGGAAAAGAATCTCAGGAAACACAGCTACCTGTTCCGGCCGGACATTGAGATCATCCTGATGCAATCGTAATCCAATGTCCTCCTGACATACAGTAGGCTAAGTATGCTCATTAATTTCTCAGTTGTTTCAATCATTGCAGCTGCATAATTTTCAGCCATCCTATCACCTGAGTTTCTATAAATACAAGTCATGTGATGCCTTGACTACGATTACAAGGACTTAAAATCTAAAATTCCAGTCCCAATTGTGGTCATGTCAAGAAGTACCCTTAATATTCATGGTTATGTCCCAACTGTTGGTCTTAAATTGAGAAATAGGTATAATATGCATGGAAAAGCCACTTTGGGGGGGTAATTAAAGATACCAGGCTAGAAAGTGGGAGACAATGAGTTCTACCTAAAGTCTGAAGCTGCTTAGGTAGTAGGCCAGTCCCTCTCCATCCTAGGGGGAAAAAAGCAATGATAAACCACTTCTAAATAATCCCCCCCCCACAAAAAAAAATCAAGGTCCAAGCAATCACCAATTATGACTGATTCAAACAGACACAGACATAGCACATGTGAATAATCAAACCTGTGATAGGGGAAGGACTCCGATGTACAGATAGTTCTCACTTAACAATTGCCCTGTTTAGGAACCATTTGAAATGAATGATGAAGAGGTAACTTTACGACTGGCCCTGACAACCTTTGCACTTACAACTTACCATCTTTGCAGCATCTCTGTAGTCACACAATCTAATTTCAAGTGCTTCACAACTGTCAGGCATTTTCAACTATTGCAGCATTCGAGTTAGGCGAGTGCCATTTCTGCACTTCAGTTTCCAATAAACAGAGTCAATGGCGAAACTGGCAGTAAAATTGTAAGTTGCATTCACGTGTCTTGCTTCGTGACAGTGCCACTTAGTGATGGAGTTGGTGACCCCACTGTGGTTATTAAGCAAAATCTACCTGTACTTGAGGAGAAAAGGCTACTAGAAGTCTTTCCTTATTTATTACCAATCTACAAGCCTACTATTTATTACCAATTTTTCCACAGTACAACTGATCACAACTGCCCATACAAATCAGCAGCGTGGTTTACACATCTTGCTAAGCCACCCTGTGGCTTATTTGATTCTACCAAGAATATGATTTAAGATATAACTAAAGAATCCTCGGCCTAACATGTGTGAACCCGATTTTTTTTCCTTCCCTCATCCAGAGGTCCTTTGGTTTTCAAAATCAGAGACGTTTAATCTGTTTTCACTGGATTTTTCTAACCGCTCCCTTGTATTTATTCCTTCAATTGACTATCATGCACTTTTATGAGTGAATACAGATAGGGCTCCTGGATCTGGACTGGAGACCAATAGATAACGGAAAAATTGAATGATTTCATATCCTTTTGCTGCCATCTAATAGCTATCTTGATTTTTGCAATGTAAGTCTGGAACTAAAGCAATATTCACTAAGACCCGGTAGGCTCTCTAGTGTCTTGTTCACCAGGCCAAGATTACCTCACCTTGCCATAGGGCCCTAAGTAAGTAATAATTGTCAATTCCCTTTATAGCCGCCATGAAAGAGCAGCTAGTAAAGCAGGACACGGGTGAAAAGGTGCGTTTCATCTTTACGTACTTACCATTTCCACCCACAGTGAACTTCTGCCCTTGCCTTGTTAATTTTCCTTTATTACCGCCAGATATAAATAAAAACCAGATTCACAATTATTAGTAAGACCAGCACTTTATGAATCTTGCTCCTCACCAACACAATAGTTGAAAAGGATTTTCAGTCAGTTACTGCTGAGTCCTTTCTTTTTAACCAGCGAGACGGAAACAAATGCAATCTGCAAATTGATTTGAAAACAGTTTATGAAAATCAAACAGACATTTCAAAATCAGAACTTATGAAAAATGCGCCTCCTTTCCCGGAGGCTTCCTCTGGTTCCATACAGAATGCTGGCAACACTCACAGCTGTAGGTATTTTCCTCTCCCCGCCTACCCAGTTCATCTCGTGAAGGAAGACATTTTGCCTGTGACAAGGGTGGTAGGGCAGGGTGACCCTGGTCCCCCGCTTCCCCCCTTCACTTGCAAGTCTGGATCACCAAGTAATGTATTTTACACCTGACAGCAGCTTGGAGGACAACTCCTTGTCCCATCGCTGTGAGCAGGCTAAGAATAAATAGTCTATGCTTCCTCTAAATTTGATTTCCATAACTACCTTGGTGGGTCTGCTAAACGTTCTATGGTTTCCCACGGTGTGAGAAGCCGTCACTAATGTCCAAGGGAAGGTAGCAACCCACTCTTTAGCTTCAAGCTCCATCGTGCGGGAGACATTCAGTGGTTCTTTCAGTTGCTTGGCTATCAGTCATCCTCTTCATCCTCTTCTTCAGATTCCCCTTCTTCAGATTCCTTTCCCCCTTCTTCAGATTCCTTTCCCCCTTCTTCAGATTCCTTTTCTTCAGGCTCCTCCTGACTTACGGATTCATCCTGAGTTTGGGGTTCAGGTTCATCCTCCGCGCTGCCTGCTTCTAATTCCTCAGGGCCAGCTTTCGACAGGCTGGCCTTGATGTCTATGTCTGAGCCACTGGGCACCTCACTTCCTTGTTGAGCCCACATGTCAGAGTAGAGGCCCCCTTTCTTGAGCAGCTGCTCATGCCTGCAAAAATGCAGGAAAAAGTTAATTTAAAAGACTCCACAGAAAGCACATCCCTCGCTTAGGTTGCTCTGGACATTCGCAGTGGAACTTTCCCAACATGACATGTACCTATGCCATACAGGGCACTGCCACCCTGTCCTTTTGTCACAGGCAGAGACAGCTTTCCCAATCTGGACGTTTGTCAGTAGGTTTGGGGACAGAGGGGATAAGCAGGAACTTGAGGGAGTTACAAGAAGGGCTCAACCTTTCCACCACCACCCCTACCCCCCCAAAGCTTGCACAGTACCCTCTTCCATCCGTAGAATGGGAGGAAGGCATGTCAGAATGAAAATCACTGTCCCAGAGCAATCCTCTTATCTTGCCTTGGGAATGAGGCCTGTAAAGTCAGTGCCCTCACATTGGGACAGCAGTTACCTGCACTTCGTGGTCTCTGGAGAGCAAAGGGCTGGGAAGGGAAAGACGGCTTTTTTTCTCTGCACCCCGCCCCGCCCCGCCCCGCCCCTCCTTCCACCCGGACCAGTGCAACTCTTTCGCCTTTCCTATTGCTCCCACGTGTAAAAATAGGCAGGGAGGGTCCTATGCCAGACTGAAACAAATCCACATAAATATTGAGGTTTCAGGAGGAGGATTTTCATGTGGAGAAATAATGCCAAATGGGTTTCACTTGCTGCCTCTATTGCTACTTTCCACTAAACTGGCTGGGCAGAGCGCAAGTGAGGAAGAGAACAGAAGAGCGTGGGGGATCGATGCCCAGAAAATAGTGGCCATGATGGGGATAGGAGATAAATAAGGCTTGCGCTGAGCAGGGTTGACCAATAATTTGCATCTGGGGCCAATACTCCGCTTCTGATTTGACTGTTCTCAAACTAACCTTCTGGCGAAGTAATCTAAGGCAGTATTAGAAGCAACAATAATAATTGTCCTGTGGCCATAATTCCACTTTTATTTTGAACAGGACTTGAAAATGGGGAAATCCACACTTCTATTAATACTTGTTTGGTGGGAAGTAAAGTGGGGAGAATATAGGGGCTCACATCCTCCTTTCCTAGGAACTGGGCTTTCTAAACACAAGAAAAGCAGTTGTCATGGTCTCTTTTAATGTCGGAGTTGTGTTTTTTTTTTTTCATTTGTTTACCTTCCACGCTCTACCACACGGCCGTCCCGGATAACAAGAATTTGATCAGCCTTAACTATGGTTGATAACCTGTAAAGGACAGATAATTACTATTACTTAGAAGCCAGTATGTAAAGTTTGATAGCTGTCAGTAACATACAATACATGACATATGCACAGGTGCTATTTATCCCATCAGACCTACAATATTTTCCTTGCTATTTTCTCACTGACTTTACATTTTTAAAAGATCTTTTAAATGCTGTACTAGGATGCTGATATGCAAAGCTTTCACTCTCATCTTTATTTCTACCAATGCCTCTGTCTTCCTTACAGATTATAGAAGCGTAAAAGGAGGAGGTAACCAGATAATTGCTTTAAAATGGTTAGGTTTAGAAAAAAGAGATTAAACTAGAGAAATGACCCAAAATATTCTGGGATGACCAGTTGTAGGGGATGACTGACAGCACTGTTATCCCTCTACCACTGTGGTGGCGACCCTGTGGCACGCATGCCAGAAGTGGCACGCAGAGCCATTACTGCCGGCACGAGAGCACTTGCCCAGAAAAAGTGTACTGCACATGCGCGCGTACCACCCTGCCAACAACCGATTGTTGGTTATCTGGCGCACATGTGTGGGGGTGTGGTGCACAGAACACACTCGTGAAAGCGCATAAGTACGCAGCACACATGGGGGAGGTTGCACGCGCATGCGCAGAAGCATACAGCACAGATCGCGCGGGTTGCGTGGGCATGCTCAGGAGGCATGGGGAGGCCCATGTGCTTTGCCTTCTGGGTGATGGCACACAAGCACGAGCAGGCAAGAGCGCACGCAATTATTGGCATGGGAGCCCAAAAAGGTTATCCACCACTGCTCTACCATGTCACCTGATTATGTTTTTGATGGCCCTCTCACAAAATGGCTGTTACTGTTATAACATTCTATTAAATGTGTAAAACATCTATTTCAAATGTGTTCCATGGCACAAAAAGATACCAAAGGTTTATTAATGAAGTCTCAACAGTCAAAAAACATGAAAGTTCCTGTTTTTATAACAGGCTCTAAATGTGTCAAATGTAACAAAAGTCTTCCCTCAAAATAGCAGGACCGTTCAACACTTTAGGAATAATTCAGGAAAAGTGCTTTGAATGAGTGGGAGCACAAATAGACCTATGCTGATCTTTAAAGCA